GCTCAGTCTGAGGTGAACTGCTTCAACTCTTCAGAGGGTTTGTGCTGGTCATAACAAGGGACAAAGTTCACTCCTGCTTTGAAAAGTGATGTCTGCAACTTCAATTGGATTTTATTTGGAAAAGAATACATATTTTTGAAATTGTGACCCTGTAGCATCACCTATATTAAGCATGTTTCATAATAAATATATTTAAAACCGTGCCTCCCCTTGGAATAAGCATCACCTGTACAAAATAGCTGGAGCATGAATTCTTAAATCATCACTCCATCTCCACACTTTGAAGAGGAACTGACCTTTGCTTTAAAGTTGGAGTAGCTAACATTTTTGCTCAATAAATACATGTTTGTCCCAACAGAAAGAGTCTTTGTGAAAATATAAAAAACATGATTTGAGAGAAACCAAACTGTTTTGTAGTTTCAATGTTAGGTACTCCAGCTTTAAGTGGATACTGGGAAGCTTGATTTTGTGATGCTCTTTGAATTAGAAATGTCTGTTTACTTTTTTTTGTCACAATTGATTCAGAAGTTACAATTTATTTGGATAAACCCAGTAAAAAGGTAAACAGCAGGATACATAAATATACTCCTCAAAATCCTCGTCTTCACATTGTTGGGTAACCACAAACCTTTTTCCCTTTAGTCTAATTTCGCTTTCTCCAACTCCGTGCCCTATGACGAATCCTTACAATATTACATAATGGACTGAGCCTTTTTCTGCTCACTGATGTAATGCAGCCAAATGACTTGTAGTCGTTTCTTCAGTCAAACTACGGTCTTTACAACTGTGTGCCTTCATCTAGTTGTGTTCATGTTGTAGAGTTCTATTCCAGTTGGAGAGCAGGTGCCAACACAACGCTAAGGGAAAGAAGCCATTTTTGTCAAAATTGTTGAAAATGAAAAATGTTTTCCCTGGGATTAGATTCACAAACCCTCCATATTGTTCTTATGTCTTGAAGTTTTTCCTATTGACGAACATCAACATCAATTATATGTTATCTGAATAATGTCACCACTTCTCGACACATTTTTGAGAAATTATTTGGACTATAGTTAGGATATACTGACAAAGAAAATGGAGAACTTTGTGACAGTTTTTTGTTCCATGTGGATTGTCCCAGGAAATACAGAAATTAGCTCTAAACTAAAACTCAAAGTCAGACTTTTGACAGTTACCATAGTTGCTGCAACAATTTTTCAGCTTCTCTCCACCACAATGTTAAACTATAGGATCTTTGGGATGTTTTGACCTCACATGAACACCACCTTTTCATTTAATTTTATTTCATTTCATACATTACCAGTTACAAAAGTGAACCAAAAAAAGATACTCAAAGACAAATGTTAGCCTAAGTTAATACACATGTACCAGAATGCATTTTTTACTTGGCCCAAAATGTATTTTACATTTCAATAGTTATGAAACACTGACAGGACTCGCTGTAGTAGTTACTGTGACAGGAGGATTCTCAGCCTCGCTCTGGCCGGGCTGAATGTGACTGTTACTGTACGGCCTCCAAATATGTGCGTCTGCTCATTATCTGTGCCTGAGCGACACGCAGCAGCCGTGAAACTGTCTGAGATACTGTATGTCTCCCAGCCACAAAACAACAGGTCGTTATACATGTGTCAAAATAGAGACCCCAAAATAATCGACTTTCTAAGCATTTTTACTGAATAATTTGTTTTCACTGGGTCCCTGCAATACTCTTTCACATCACAACAAATGGTACATGTAATAAAATCCCCCTAACAATTCAATTTATTTTTGTATAGTCCTAAATCACAACGATAGTCATCTTAGAGGACTTTACAAGGCTGTCACTTCGCCAACACAGGTAATGCAATGGTTAAAAAACACATTGAGCCATTGGTCCATAAGGGGAAAATGTCCAATGTCCATAAATGTTAATAAATGTACTTAAATGTCCTGCATCATCACCACTGTCTTTAGAACCTCCTGTTAGCCCTGTAGCCCAGAGTTTATCTCATTTTATTTTATTTTTATCTTAATTTTATTGTCTATTATCTTAAATAATAATTGGATGTGTGCAATCTGAGTGCTCTTATTTCCTCTGCTGTAATGTGCGCAACGATGACACTGAAATTTCTCCACTGTGAGACTAATAAAGGTTTAAGATAAACCTTATTTATCTTATTTTATCTTATCTTAGTTCCTCGATCACAGCATTTGGTTCTTTTACTAGTTATCTGGCCTAACCCTAACCCGTCCCTAACCCTCACATTTCTATAGACAGAAAAGTGAAAAAGGGGTATCCCTTCTTTAATCTAACAGTTTTGGTCAAATGTGGTCCCATGAAGCAATGATAAAGTACACAACATTCAACAACTTTAAGCAAAAAAAAATAAACAACTTTAGAAAATAATGGGCAAATCTTTTAAGTGTATAATAAAGAGGAACCCAGTGAATGGAAGGAAGATTCTGAAATAGTTTCTCACAGACGCCGAATCAGCACATTTTACAACGGCTGAATCCAAGTTCAAATATTACACTTTCTAATCATCTTTTGTTGGAACTATTGTTGCAGCTTCAGCCTCATTGACAGCCATGCTAAACATAGATTTCACGAATATTCTCATGTCCTGCTGTATACTATAGATCTGGTGTAGTTCAGGTTTGGTTGAGGATTTAGTGATATTTTTCTTCATGGTTTTAGTGGAGTGTTTTTGCAAATGCCATGAATGCAAAGAAGTTATCCAATTGCCCCATAAAAGAGACAAGTATAATGTATCTAACAGGCTATTTGCATTGAACTGGAAGAAGGTCTTTACTGCTTTTCTTCACTTTCAAATTCATGCATTTTGATTTGAATTCCTAAATCCATTCTAAACATATTCTAAATAATGTCTTCTCCCATTAATTGTTATTTGCCGTGTATCGTCACAATGTGCAAATATCCTTAGGCCTTCTGAAAAATTCTTCCTTGGATAAGAATAACTTTAATAGCTCGAGATTAGACTGTTAATTATGGTGCGTTACTCAATATATATGCTACCCATAATAACCCCACATTATTTACTGTAGTACATAATTATAAAGGAGACATTCTTTAACAGTTGTTTGAAAAAAACGTGGAAAGTCTGTTGTCTCTTAATATTATTACTGCTGGATAAGAAACAAAACATGTGTTAATATTGTCCAGTGACAATATTTTTTATTTAACCTTTATTTAACCAGGAAAATACCCATTGAGATCGAGATCTCTTTTTCAAGGGAGTCCTGGCCAAGAGGTCTGTAGCACACGTCAAGGGCACTTTACAGAACAACAATAAAACAATACAATAATACAACAAAATACAAATTACAAAACATTTACATCATCCAAAAAAACTAAAGGCAACCATGTGACAAGTTAAAGTTTAAAAGCATGAGCATTTGGCAATGGTTGAGACTTGTTTTTCAAATACAAGTGAACGAAATGCGTTTAGCGAGAACAATTTGGACCACTTCAGTTCTGACTGCAGACTGTTCCATGCAGCGGGAGCAGAATAACTAAATGCCTGCTTTCCCAGCTCCGTCCGGAGTGATCAATCATAGTATGTCTAGATTTCATAAGCGTCCACTGAAATATGTATTGATTCGGGCGTTTTTAAGCCAAATGCCTCAAGTTAAAATAAATACAGCGGTTTTGTGGTACACACTGTTACCGCTAAATCAATTTAAGCTGGACCTTGTACAGTATTAAGCTTTGTTGTTCTCTGCTGTAGTCTGGTATTGGTTTGTTGGTACTCGGTGTAAAATCTCAAAGCTGGAGTCACATGTCGGCACAGGAGGCACCGGATCGGCTCCCTGGGGTTCCGACAGATGGAGGGAACTGAGATCAGGGTTTTGGATGAATTCATTCTAAAATCTCCTTCCTTAGTTACCATCACTTTGGGACATTTTAGAGAAAATACTGTGTTTTTGCCATTTCATGTTTCTGAATATTTTCTTTAAAATTGCATTACAAGGGTGTGGTGTAATTGTCCTTTACGAGAGACGAGAGAGGACAAGATACATTCTCAAAACTAGTTTGGAGGCTACAGTTTTGTTTTAAAGGCTGAAAACGGCTCTATTCATAAAGTTATAACCTAAAGAGTGTTTGAGATGGGAGCAGTTAGACAGAGAATTCAGAAGAACGAGCCTTTTTTACCGAATAAATATTATGCATTATTTTTGGCTGATGATGAGACTATTTACTTTGTCATTTCCTGTTTTAGAATGTCGAATAATATCTGAAGTAGAAAATACAGTATATGGTGAAAGAAGTATGAAGGGTAGACAGTGCTATTGACTGTAACTCCCCATACTACCACCAGGTATAGAATTTTATATTTATTTTCTATTCAAAATTTCCAGCTGCAACCGCTGTTGTGCAGATGTGAAGTATTTAATTGCCTAATGTGATGTCCTAGTGGTACAAGCCTTTTTGACTGGTGCAGTTACATGTTTGTGGCAGAAGTTCCTGGATACAAAAAGATAAGATAAACTTTATTATTCTCACAATGGAGAATTTTACACGTCACATTTGGTATAAATAGAATCACTCAGGTTGGGCCAAAGACAGGAAATGTGCAAATATGTTAGAAAGTGTAAATAGTGTCTTTTAAAATTAGAATAAAAGTAACTGTAGCGGTGCAAGTTCACAGTCCTAATGCACAAAAAACATCCACAAAAAATTCCATGATCTGTTTTTGATGAGGACAAAAGACCAGGCTACCTTGTCTCATAACAAACAACACAAGGAAGATAATAAAGGAGGTATTGTTTATGAATTCAGATGCAGCTCAGAGTAAGGCCATAGATCAGATTAACAATACTGAGAGGTAAAAAGGGGACAGCGCGGTAGATAAGGATCTTCTCTGTTGGGTTAGTGCAGGATTTGTGTTCGGTGTTTGTTTACAGTTGACTCACATGTTGTGCATCGCCGTGGAAACCAGTTCAATAAATGATGTGGATTCGGATTCATGTGTAAATATAATCTGTCTTCTGTTTTACAGGAGTCCAGAAGCACCACAGAAGAGAAGCCTGTCCAGAGATCTAAGGTAAGATAATAGTACACTGTCCCCAGAAATGTTCGTTCCTTAAAAATAAAATAAAATATAATACAATTTAAGTTGCTGACGTCCCCTTTAACATTGGTAAAATAAACTTAACATTCCACAATTGCTCATCGGAAAAAGCGTTTTATCTAGCATCTTTTTTTTATTTTTTTATTTTTTTTATAGTTTATTTGAATAGGGACGATAGACATTAATCAACATTGCTGTTTCCAACTGAAGTCCCTAGGCAAGGTGTAAAATGCCATCAAAGTGCACTGCAAACATTACAATTACATTACAATACATTACATTACATTACATTACATGACACTATAAAGTAACTAGTTACCTGACCTTGACCTTTACTGAGACTGTATTTTTAAAAGTGAATGGATCATCATATTTCTATCGCCATTGTATTATAAGTAGTATTATTATAATGAGAAAGGTGTAGGGTCAGAGAGCGTTTAGGCCTGTGTCTTGACTAGGGCTGCACAAGTTATCGAAAAAATATTGTTATCGTGATATTGTTGCGTGCAATATGCATATCAAAACAATCTGCGATAATAAATATATATATATATTTTTTTTTTTACTTTTTTAAAAATTATTTTATTAGAGACAACAAAACAGACAGACACATCAACATTCAACAAGAACAACAAACTAACAAATAAAAAAGTATATAAATATATGCATTTGAATGTCATTAATGTTGTGCTTATTTTTCGTTTTTGGTTTCTTGTGTTTCAATGCTGATTGCAATTTTAGGTGAAAGATAGAAATATCACAATAATATTGTTATCAAAATACTAAACACTCATATTGAATATTGCACTAATTTCCAATATCGTGCAGCCCTAGTCTTGACTCTGCCTGTGAGTGTGTGTTTTGTGCTGTACGAGTCCAACCCCTTTTGAAACTGAATTGTGGTTTATATTTTTTGTATTCTGTTTAATGGGTCTTTTTTGTCTATTTTACATAAGTTTGAAGTTTGAAAAAATGCTACTACTACAATTTTCCGCTGTCTATTGTATTGTATCCAGTTGTATGCTCATATACTCACAAAGTGCACCTTCACTGAAATGTGCTTCTACGGTGTGTTCTATTCAGTCTTTCAGCTTCAAGACTGCGAAGGAAGTGTGTGCGTCATGTGAGAAGACGGTCTACCCCATGGAGAGACTGGTGGCCAACAACCAGATCTTCCATTCCAAATGTTTCTGCTGTCAGCACTGCAACACCAAACTGAGGTGAGCGTTTACAATACTATACAGATCCACTTTTATATCGTTAACTCACAAAACGGATCGATGACGAATTTTTTTATCCTGAAGAAATGACAACAGAAAGATTCAATGTCAATGCCAGCTTTGTTTGTATCGCACAACACACAACACAAGCTGCTTTACAGGCACAAAAGATAAAAAAGAAAAGAAAACTGCCTTAAAATACACAAATACATGTAGAAAGTAAACCCAATTGGTGGTAAAAGCCAAGGTGTAAAAATGTATCACTTTTGATGCTTCAGGCTGAGTGCTGATTGGCTGAGCGAGGCTGGTCCTCTCTTTTTCAATTGTGCTTTTAACGCTACTATTTATGAATAAAACAAATAAATGAATAAATCCCTGACATTGACGGTTTCAAACGCTTGCATCTTAGTTCAATTTAAGTAGGGGCGGCACGGTGGCTGAGTGGATAGCACTCTCGCCTCTCAGCAAGAAGGTCCTGGGTTCGAATCCCGGCCGGACCAGGGCCTTTCTGAGTGGAGTTTGCATGTTCTCCCCGTGTCTGCGTAGGTTTCCTCCGGGTACTCCGGTTTCCCCTGCCACTAAAAATATGTACAATAGGTTCGGCGACCCCGCTCCCATCTCTGTGTGGAGTGAGAGGACAAGTGCTCAAAAAAATAACAATTGTAAACCGCTTTGTGACTCTGGTCTGTGAAAGGCGGTATATAAATAAAGCTTACTTACTTACTTACTTACTTAAGTCATTTTTCCTTTATAGATGGACATATGAACTTGTGTCTCGAGTTGAGAAATCATGTGTTATAATCTCGAGACGTTGAGATTTTGATGTCGACCGTAGTCAATACTCCAGTCTATCCTCGAGTCGATACATGTGACTATGATAATAATAATAAGAATAATGCATCGGTTTTATATAGTGCTTTTTTGGACACTCGAAGACGCGTCACATGTCATTATTCATTCACTCCATACACGGTGGTGATAAACTACTACTGTAACCACACTGACTAAAAGTTTTCTATCATTTCCACTTTAGCGAGCCAAATCTGGTCCTCTTGCATATATCTGTCGTTCTATCGATCAGACCAACTTGCAAAAACCCCTAAAATAAAACCTCATCTTAGTCAAATATTCAGGAGAAATGGACACATCAGCTGATTTGGGTCCATCTCTACACAGCAGGGGATTCAGCAGTGCAGGAGTCAGGAAGCTGCTTTTGGCCTGAGTTGTTTTTCCGAGTTATGCGTTCATTTGCATATTCCAACTCGGAAAAACTTTTTCTGGAATTTCTGAAGCGGTTGTGAACTCTGCTACACTACTGGATTATCTCACTTTTTCTGTGTCGTACACAACTCATGGTGTTTGTTCAACAGAAAGAGTTTTGTAAAAATGAAAAATCAGGTCATTATTAGAAAACGTGTGATCTTGCATACATGTAAGAAAGAGCCCTGTGAGTCACTATTTTATGTTTCCGGCTGATATTTGATTGGCTGTGTGAAGGTGGTTCAGCCCCTCACTGATCCTCCTGCAGGTGGTGAGTCCACAGGAGCCTTGATCTTCCAGCGGGGGCTTCAGGCAAAGTGGGGTTAAGTGTCTTGCCCAACGACACAACAACAGCTGTTATGGTGTAGATTTTATTTTTGTATTTTTGTTTTATTTTGAAGTCTTATCTTTGTATTAGTTTGAGTTTAACTTCTGTGCTGTTTCCCCTGTCTTGATTGTCTGCCCCGCCCTGATGTGTTTCATCTGTGTCCCTGTCTATAATTACCCTGTGCCCCTCTCCACATGTTGCTGGTCCATTGTCTTGTCAACGTCCTGTCTTGTCTTGTTCATGTCTCTGTCTGTTTCCGTCCTGTTCCTGGTTATGTATTTTGGATTTTGTTTTTACCTTGGACTTTATTTTATTAAATCATTGTTTTTTGCATTCCTGCATTTGAGTCCTCCATCATCCCACCCCATGACAACAGCAGTCAGAGTCGTGAATTAGGTCTTGTGGTGGGCTCGAACCCACGACCTTCAGGCCTAAAGGCCAATGCTCTACCAACTGAGCCACTGTCGCCCTGTAGACAGTCCAGTCTTTCAGAATATACAGTACATTTCACATAATAAATCATAGCACACAATTTTCTGTGGGTCTTGAAAATCAAAAACTGTTGGCAGTCAATGAGTTAAGATAAGATAAGATGTACTTTATTAATCTCACACAGGAGAAATGTTTACATACTTCCTTTGGTGTGTGGTCTGAAAGTTACACCCCTCAGCTTTAATGTTGTGTGTGTTTACTTGCAGTTGGCAATGCCCTTTTTTTATTCAAATTCTGTTTTCCAAACTCCAAAGTACAAAACACATTATCAAAATACAGTATATTACTTTTTTTTCTACATTGAGCATCAAATTAAATATTTCTAAGGTACCAGTGCTATCCAAATATATATTCCCTTTGTTTTGTCTTTGAGAATCACATTAAATATAAATAAGATGCCAGTGAATCAGTCTGTCAGTCTCGAGCTGTTTGGTAAAGCAGACATTGAGTATTTGTGATTATTTCTTGCACACATTGAATTTCTTAAATACATTGAATTTAAGATGCCAAAGAAGTCTTAACACTTTCTCATCCTCTTTCTCTCTCTCGTCCTCTTCAGCCTCGGGAACTACACTGCTCTCCAGGGTGAATTCTACTGCAAGGCCCATTACCAGCAGCTGTTCAAAAACAAAGGAAACTACGACGAGGGCTTCGGACGCAAACAGTATAAAGAGCGCTGGGCCAACAAGGATTCAGACAGCATCACAAAGTCTCCATAAAGACGTCCTCTCCCCATCCAGGCCTTACCTCACGCCGGGGTGCTCTCCAATTACCCACACACGCTTTTGAAATGCCATTTGATCAGAAAAAAACAGGTCAAACACACAATCAAGCAAAAAAAAATCTGAAAAAAGAAAAATTGCATGAGTTAGTTATTTTATTTTGACTTTCAATGTGTGACCAAATGTCTTCTCTACTCTGGTAAGGGGAGTGTAATTTTAAATGTTTTATTTTGATCTATTTGTTGTTAGTTCAAGTATAATTTTGCACCATTCTTGCACCAGTTTTCTTACACAAGCCGTCACTCAGGCATGCGCAGAAGTGCAAGACGACACAACTACATTACTTTATGTAGTCAACTTTTTTCCGCAATATGTAAACGGGATTGTATGTAGTTGGTTATCGGTCAGGATTGCATTTCGGTGATGGTACAGTAAATAGTACAGTATTGTGCCTGGATACTAATCTCCAAATTGAGCTGGATTCATGGTGACATTCCCTGAGGCATCTCTTGTCCCTGTTGTCTGAAAGCCGACATTGAAAATGATAGGGGCACCGCATATAGAGGGACAGCCAACACTTATTGTTACATAATTGTGTACATTGTGTGTTGGCAAAATCTAGAGAAGATTCCAAGTTTTGAGCACAAACGATAAAAAAGTTGTTTTAGCTTCAACAGTCAAATATTGGGGCAACATTCACATTAGCCTGGTTCACTTAAGAGCAGGGGTCAGGAACCTATGGCTCGGGAGCTAAATGTGTCTCTTTTGATGATTGTGTCTGGCTCTCAGACAGATCTCAGGCATTAATACTAAAAGAGTGTTTTATGTATTGGATTTCTTATGTATAAAAATGATAATGCAACAAATATACGTTCTGATATTACACTCTAAATGTGTTTTTACAATAAAAAAAAAAAAAAAAAGGTATGGCTCCTACAGACAATACATTTTAAAGTATGAGCCTGTTTTGGCTCTTTCAGCTCTCTCAGGTTTCTGCTCTCTGCTCTAGAAGCCAATGGAGAAGTCCTTTCACTAGTACAGATCAGAAGTGAAAAGATACTTTTCAGAAATACGATATTAGTCAATATTAAAACTACATGCTCATTTTTAGAAAGTATCAATACTAAGTTCAAAAACAGGACAAAATGATTATTATATTGATCTTTAACTGAAGAAATTTGGGACTAAAAATACCTGTGTCTAGTCTATCCATCTATTGTATCAAAATCAAGTTTAATATGCTAGTATCGTGGCAACAAGAATTAGATAAATGTACACGCTTTCACATCTCAACATATGAAGAATAACTAAGTGAACCAGAATTTACTTCAATTGAAATTCAAATGTGAATATACCCAGAGATGATTGTTTTATTGTCAGATGAATTCACAACAACACATCAATAACATGTGAAGAAGAGCTTAAGAATAAATGTCTTTTATTCCTAGAAACGTACTGCAAGGTTTACATAATTCGGCTTTGTTTGAATAATCCAGAATGTTTGGCTAATCTCACTGCGATTACTAAAACTACATATAATCCCAATGATAGATCCAACTCAATATCGCTGTCCTTCAGTTTCTTACAAGGAACAAACAGGGTACGCAACCTACTGTAAAATGCACAAAATAGCAACAACTCACCTCGTTTTATTTGACTGCTGTTCTTGCCACTTTTTTTTTTTTCCTCGATTATACCAATAATTTGAAGTCTTAAATTGAGTTCAATCTTGCATGTTGGTGTGGCTGGTTCTCAACTGCCTTATCTCATGACTGTATATTGTGAATGGTTTAGTTCGTTCAATGTTTGGGATTGGATTTGTGTGACCCGTGACGGCGTAAAAACGAACCCACGGTCTGCTTTTTATTATTGAAACCTGTTTAAAAAAAGATTGTGTTTTGTATCCTGTCTGTACATAGAAAATGTTGTTCGTAACTTAAACATTCCCCATATTGTACCTATTGCACATACCACAAGCTCATACAACATACCGGCCGTCACAAGGAAACTATTTTTGTTACAACGCATTCTTCACGCTTAAAGTAAAACTCGGTTAAGTGATTATTACTTAGACATCAAGTGTTGACGGCTTCATTCTCAGTATCTTGTTATGATGTCCCCTTTGTGTATAAAGCATGGTTATAAACAGGGACTAAAACACACACACACACAACACATCTTTTCCTTGTTTTTGTTCAATGCCTTTTTATCTCTTCCCATGTTTTGCTATTCACACCATGGACCTATTTTCTCTCTGTACTGTAAATGATGGCGAAGGTAATGTGTGTGTTGTCCAGTGGCAGGGCTCCCTCTGCTGGACAAAGCGGTGCGATACTTTAACGTGAAAACAACAAAAAGTCAGTGAAAACTATAGACAGTGTGGTTCAAACTCGCATTATTCTGTTGAACTAATTTGACAAACTTCATTTTTGAACATGTTTTTATTATGTTTAAAAAAAAGCCATTTGAAGGTGGACTTTATGTTTCTTCTGGGGAGGGGACTGATGCTGTTACCATGACGATGTTATTGCTTCTTCTATAATATTTCACACTATTAAAATGCATTATGGCAGATGACATTTATTCAAAAAGTTGGTTACCTCAAAATATTTAAGTCCTTTTTTTAAATCCAAATTTGGCTACTTTTTATTTATTTATAAAGATTGATAATTGTAGTTGTAGAGAATGGCGTCATGTTTAGCAGTTTCAACCTAGCAACAACTTTTGGCCAAAATTTATCTAGTCAGGAATTATGATTTGACAAATTGAAATATGATTTAAACATCAAAATATCAATTTAAAAATAACTTGTCATTGTGTACATCCCTAGAGTGATGTTGGATATGATGATAAAACATTAGTAATCTCACGATGGAGAATACATGTTTCATTTTGAATCACTCAGGCTGTGCAAAAGTAAAAAATATAGACAAGGTATCTTCTGTAAAACTAAAACAGTGACATTGGCAGTGTAAAGTTTGCAGTCCAAGCATTGTACTTGTTGTACATTCTGACAGCAGTGGCTCTACATCTCTGCTCTTATACTGAATTTCACTTTATTTTCCACACCTTGCTTCACAAATTGTGACTTTATTGGCGTGAAAGCATGATTTATATTAAAGACTAATGGGTTTGATTAATATTATACAGTTAAAGCAATAACATCTGAGTAAAAGCAATCAGTATCACACCCCACACCAGAAAGTCTACATGGTGCGCCTTTCAAACCAATGTTCCTTTTTCCAAAAACCACAAGACTTGACGCCAGACACTTGAATGACTCAATGTACTTTTTGTGACTGAGTTGACTGTGAATTTGAGCATGCTGTGCGGATGAGAAAAGATACATATTTGCTACTTTTCGAAGCAAAGCCTTATAGAAATGGAACCATATTTTACCCCCGTGACGCTATATATGAAATTCCCCCATGCCTTTTTGAAAGCATAACAAACAAAAAACCCATCATGATATTAAATCACTTCATTCAGCCAGCAGCATCGATTCTATTCTTTTAATAATCACTGTACAGTCACTGGATTCCCTCTGTGTTATGTTTTTTTTTATTTATTTTTTAGGATTGTCATGTGAATCCTAAAGCTTTAAAAGTGTTCAATGTTTGTCATTGCGCAGTTTGCCAAGGTACAATTAAGTCCAGTCCATGTCCTTTTTTGTAATATATCAAATACGGTCCAATTAACACTGGTGCCAACAGGCTCAGGTGAAAAACGATGTACAATCTATGTATCTTTTATTTGCAAGAGAGAAAAAAAAATCACTGAAATTTTCTGAATATGCATCTTTTGGAAATGTATTTTATATTTCAGACGTGGGTTGAGGTGGCCTTATTCAGCTAGAGGACGTTAGGACTGTGGCTACGGTCTTATTCCTTCAATCCCGCTTTTTTAATTCTGTGAAAACACCCCTTTCTACGCCAATACACACAATCATTTTGAGCTTTTTTGTCATCAGTTTTTCTTTTTTACATGCTTTAAAAATAAAAATAAATGCTGGTGTTGATCTAATGAGCTGTTGAGCTTTTCCTTTCCTTTTGTGTGTGTTTGTACGTATGAAGAAAGCGCCTATAGGCAGAGAGATACAGTCTCATCCTCACGTCTGCATCCCAAACGTATGAAGTATGGATGAAAATCTCCAAAGTTGCAAAGGCAGCTAGTGTTTTAGAACATGATGATATTTCTCCTGTGAGGATACTTTAATGGCACACTCTCACGTGCCATTAGATCAATAGTTACAGGGACGTCAATATGTTTCTGACATTGTTTTTGACAGAATAGGGGAAACTGTAACTTCAAAAATCTTTGTTTGAATGAAGAACTTTCTATGTGAAGGTGTGACTTATTGCAGAATTTTGAAAACAAATACATAAATAAAATATAATATAGATATTGAAAATGGACCAAAACAAATTCTTTTCAGTTTTACAATGAAATAATAAATATTCTTTGTTTGACTAAAGTGGCAGTGTATGACAATATCAGTGAGAGTGAAGGATAATGAGGAATACATTTGATATTAATTTGATTTAATTATTTACAAATTAATAATAAAGTTTCTTGCAATTTATATTGCCTATTGTAGAAGCCCAAAATGTATTTGGTGAGTATGATAATAAATAAATACATAGTAATACTGCATTTTCTTTATATGGCAAAGTGCCAATGAGCCCATCCAACCATGATCCAACCATCCATCATTTCATCCGGGGGAATCCCGAAGCGTTCCACAGCCAGCTGAGAGGCAGTCCTCTGAGGGGACCTCCTGGTGGGACATGCCCTGAACACCTCATGGGGGAGGCGTCCAGGAGGCTAATATGTCTTTTTTTTTTTTTTTTTTTTATCAAGTAAGGAAATCCCGTTTAATTTAAGTTGAATTATATGTGTGTGACTAGTATTATAAATCTGTTATTAATGTATTTCCCTACATCATTTGAACCCCTCATTTTTACTCTGACGTCACTGAGCGCGTTCCCGATCACACT